GGAACAGTATTATTGTATAATACTGTATAAGTAGTATTGTGTAATTAACTTGAATCACTGTGAATTTAACTTGAATGTTGCTACAATAGGCTCCGTTCGTAACTCTGGGGCGTCCTTAAACCAGGTGTTCTTAACCCGGGGACTATCTGTACTCTTTAGACATCTCACAGACTAATTCAAATGCAAGGACACCACCCTCTCTCCAACTGACATTTCCACACAGTTCTCTTCTCCTTTGAAAGCAAATTTTACAGCAAATTCACTTTCATGATATTGAACAAGGATTGGTAGGAAATTATATATATAATTTCCTACTGATCCTTGCTCAATATCATGAAAGTTAATTTGCTGTAAAATTTGCTTTCAAAGGATGTTTCTGCGTAACCCAACTGCATTGAAGGAAGCTTCAAAAAGAAGTAAGCCTACATACGGAGAGTTTTGGGGGTTATGTATTCCCAATTTATGATAGCCTGACCTTAAGCCCAGGGTGTGAAAATGAGACCTGTTGTTCTAGTGTATGCACATGGTGCCGAATCCAACTAATGGAAATATTAGTTTATGAAAGGTTTCCCGCAACAGAACATCTCTGTGACGCTGTGACCCAGAGCTGCCTGCCTTAACAACCAGGAGTCTAATGTGATTATGGTTGTAGGAAAAAGAGAGAGAGAAAGTGAGAAAAATTCACCATAATCATCCTGCTGGAAAAGAAATGCATTGCTACTCAGTGAGGCCTCTGGTTTGCAAGCATGCGAAAATTCTTGCAGGCATGAGAACCAGTCTCTGAAAAACGCATAAAATCCATCTTAATGAATTTGATGGAACACATTTTCCCTTTTTCAACTGGGGAAGCACCTTATAGGCTTTCTTGTGCTCAGAAGTGTACCTGATCATCCCAATTTTCTAAAGTGATAGCAGTAAGACAGAGAGCTGCAACAAACATTGAACATTCCCTTACAGCTAGAAATTATTTTGCACTCAAATACTATCATCCTATCCCAATAGAGTGATCCTATGTTTGTAAACCAGGAGGAGGGATCCACACCACGGTGTCACGACGGTTTCTGCATGGAGGGGATGGTGATCTTGTCCGAACCAAAAAACAATCACTTTGATCAGGTAGAGAGATTTCTTTAAATCCAAGAATGGCAAGATTCATTAAGCCTCATCCTGGCCACAGTGGAGAAGTTAAAATTCCCCAAGACAATCAAGAGAATTTAAAGTGATTTAGTTTTGGTTAATTTGTGCTCAGTGAAAATAAAGAGTCCCAAGTACTGCATTGTTCTGTATTCCTACCCCTCGATCCTTTTCAAAATTTCCTCTTCTTTGGCTCTGTATAAATGTTTATTATGCTGGCATTGGGAGTTTACTTTTTCAGGTCTTGATTCAGCTAGAGTTTATCATGACAGAAAGTACTATATTGTGGTCAACCACCTGTAAATCCCATGGAGCACAGTGGGACGTTAAGCATGTTAAGACACCAGTGGAACAGATAAATTGTGACAATATCAAATAATGTTTGCTCCATAGTAGAACCCACTGACTCCAGTGGGCTGTATCTGTAATTAGTCATATCCAACTTAAGCTGGATCAGGACCATAGCAGTGAGGCATCTGTCTTCTGATGTTACACGGCTGTTTTGCTGAACAAAAGCAGAAGTAAGACAGACAATAGTTCAAACCACCAGATCATCTAACTTCAATGCATTATTATAGAATACATCATGGAATGCATTTTTCTGTGCCTCCCCCCCCCCCATACAAGTTTCTCATGCTTTGTATGTGCAAAATAGGATCGTTAAATACTTTAACATCTTCATTCTGCTGTATTAATCCCAAAAGGGTTGCTAACAATTATTATTTCAGCCTTTAATTAGTTGAGTAATCAAATCTTCTCATTATTGCATGGATGGGGGGTCGATTTCTCAGTGACAATGTTTCAGAGATTGGCTTTTGCAGTAGACCCTTTTTCATTACTTTTTTTTCTCCACAAACAAAATTGTCTTTAACCTTCTTACAGCACACTTTTATAGACCTTTTTTTTTTGTAATATAATCCAAATGAGATGAACATTTATTGTCCCTGTGGAAGCCTCTGACATCACATGTCTTCTAAAGTTGAAAATAATTATACTCAGTACAATTGTAAGCTTCTCTTAGCAAAAACTTATCCCCTAGAATTAATGGCAACCAGACAATAGTGTCTATTTAAAGACATGGTTTAATAAGGGTGAACTGTTTAGTTCCTCCTTTTTGAATGAGTGAATTCACTAAGCCTGGATTCAAATGAATTCTCAACTCGTTAAACAGAGGATGCTTGTAATACTAGCTTATGAGACCATTGCTGTGTTAGTTTTTTTGCAATTGTGTCTTCTCTCTCTCTCCCTCTCTCTCTCTCTCTCTCTCCCTCTCTCTCTCTTTCTTCTCTGTATCTCATTGTCATCTAATTATGTGCTTACACCTGCCTTGCGGTTTCTTAAAAACCAATCTGTCTTGCAAAAGAGGAACTTTGAAAATTATTTTTAGCCTTATTCTCAGGATGTTTGGCAATGTCTTTTATACTTCTCCGAGTGACATTTTTTAGTATATTGTATGGGCCACGGTGTTGGTGTTGTGTTCTGCTACTCATTGCTCCTCTCTCAGAGGCCTCCTTAGATGCTCCCTTTGAAAAGGCCCAACAGGAGGCATTCTTTTCTGGTACCTTTCTTTTTCCTTTCCTTGGGAGTTAATGTGGGAGGCCAGAGGCTGTTGAAGTGGTATTGCGCAATGGAGTACAGGTCATTCCCAAATACCCTTTGGTCACCTTGTAACAAAATCACTGCAGGAACAACACCCTCCACCCCCAAGAATGTCATGGAATTTTTCTTCTCCTGTGAAAGAAAATTCAAAACCAAGTTCTTTTTCATCAAACTGAATGACAGCTGTTAGGGGAAAAAAGTAGGAGAATTCTTCTGCCAAAAAAACCCCAACAACCCTAACCTCCCCAAATTTGTTCTGATCCACAGAAATACAGCTATGTGAACTTCTGCTCAGTTCACTAAAACTTTAGCTGAAAGTTAAATAACCCATCCTGGATTGGGATGCTTATTTAAAAGACAAAATGCAGATTACTTGAATTCTTACTGCCAGTCAGTAAAGAAATCCATTATCTCAGTGCTTGGAAGAATCATCCAAGACCTGATAAATTCATTTGTTTGGGATTTCTGGCCCTTTTAAAAGATGCCCACACTTTCATAAATGTGCTTAGTAATGTCAGTATTCTAGCCTCATGATCAGTTGTATGTGTGATTCACTACACACCCAGAATCTACATTTCCCACCGGCCATTACATTTAGAATCCTAGACTGACGTAGAGATTTCAACAACAATTTCTGCTGAAGTTTACAGTTTGCATAATGTTTCAGAATTCAGGTCTGACTTTTTTTCCCCATTTCCATTTTTAACTGGATATTTTTACGAACTCCTATAGATGATCTAGATCCAATTAAGTATATTAAAGACCCCTGAATTCTTGGGAGAACATGCTTATATTTCCTTATTAAAATCTATTAGTTGGAAAGGCTTAACTTGGGCTGGACTGTGCTTTCAAATGTACTGTCTGACTCTTGGTCAGTCTTCTAAATCAATCAATTTTATATATAAGTATTTAGATTTTTCTGAACGTTCATATCTGGAAATGTTGGGGGCAAAAGGCAATCAACTAAAAACATAATTTTGAGGCCCCAAATCTCTGCTTTCAGATTCCCCCCACATACAAAAATGCCATGTTTATTTTAATTTTATAGTCATGTTGTGAAAGACTACTGTTCTTGAAAGTATTTTTCGAGGCACCCAAGCCTGTGTCCAAGAAAAAAAAAAAAAGGAAATAATGCTAACCCTAACCCATTTACTGAAGCTTGTCTTCAGTATATTAAAATGACCATACAGTTCAATCTTCTTCCCTGTCTTGCTACTTAATTTTAAGCTGAAATCCACTTAAATAATTTACTGCTGTGTGGTACTATTGAAAGCAAAACTGATGCATGCTTGAAAT